CTGCCGCCCAGCCAGGGGGGGGGGTGCGGGGGGGGGGCCTCCTCCTCCTCCTCCTCCTCTCCTCCTCCTCCTCCTCCTCCTCCTCCTCCTTCCTCCTCCTCCCCCTCGTCTCCTCCTCCTCCTCCTCCCCTCCTCCTCCTCCTCCTCCTCCTCCTCCTCCTCCTCCTCCTCCTCCTCCTCCTCCTACCTACGCCTACGGGGAGGGGGCGATACATGGGGTTCGAACCGGTAGTGACCCCCCTCCCCTTTTCATGATGGAGGGGGGGGGGGAGGGGTTCGAACCGGTAGTGACCCCCCCCCCGGTTCTCCGGAGTGGGGGGTGTTCGAGCCGGTAGTGACCCCCCCCCGGTTTTCCGCCAGCGGCGGTAGAACACGCTCTTTCCAAGGGAGAAGGGTGCACTTCTCGGGCCCTCGAGGGGCCCCCTGTTTTGGGGGGCCCGAAAGGGCCCCTTCAGGGGCCCTAGAGGGCCCCTTTGCTGCAGCCATCGCTGCCCCCGCCCCGCCCCCGCCCCCCATTCCTTTCTCGCGCTCCCCTTGCGCGACGCCCGAACTTGCCATCGCTCGGACGCCCATCCCCCGTGCCTTTTCCGGTTTCGAGCGTGCTTTTTCTTCGCAAGGTTATCCGGACACTGGATGCCCGCCCTCTTCGTCTTCGATCATACCCCCTTATACCTTTCTTACCTGCAACATGTATTTCGCGCAGCCCCTCAGGCAGGGGAAGAGTGGACGGACGGAAGGGAGGGACAGGGGGGCGGAGGAGGATGGAGCACGAATGAGAGTATCAGGAGGGAGGCTAGGGACAGAAAACACGTGGCAAAACCAGACGGGCATATCGGGCGGGTCGGAAGGCGGGCCCAGGCGGCCAGGTCGAGCAGGCGGGTTGCTGAAGCGCGCGTCCTGCATGAATCGGGAGAGAGTCTCGAATGATAGCACGATTCCTGAATACATCGTGAGGAAATCCACAGCGAAAGCGTGATTCCTGAGTGTCGAGGGTGCGGCGTGTGAATAAATTGCGAAGACATCCCGCGCGAGAGCACGATTCTTGTATAATGTGTGAGGACGCCCCGCGAGAGAGCGAGATTTGGGAATACACTGTGAGGAAGTATGAGGCGGGAGCCGCTGTTGTTGTAAACCCGGGGCCAGGGGCGCAGTTTGGTGACACGTCGCTTCCCCTTGTAATAAACAGGGGCTTCGCAGGGAGAAGCACCTTCAGTGAACAATTACAGTGGTGACCTGGCAGGGGGGATCAACAACAATAACTATGATTTAGAAATGTAAACTCAACAGCAGCAGCAACAACTACAACAACAACATCAACAACAACAGCACCAGCACCAGCAATAACAAGAGCAACAACAACATCAGCAGCATCAGCACCACCACCATCAACAACAACCCCAACAACAACAACCATCACAATAACCACAACAACCACAACAAACACAACAACACCAACAGCAACGACAGCACCACCAACACCACCAACAACAGCAGCAACAGCAACAGCAACGGCAGCAACAACATCAATCCTATTAAGACTGGTGGCTCTCATCTGCTCGCGGACCACTCAACACGTACATCTCAAACCTTCGATAGCAGCGACCTTCGTCTTCGATCGTATCCCCCAAATGGTATGTACCTTTCTTCCCTGCAATGCGGGTTCCGTGCAGCCAGCCCCCTAGGCAGGGGAAGGAAGGACGGATGGAAGGAAGGGACAAGGGAGAGGGAGGAGGATGTAGCACGAGAGAGTATGTATAGCAGGAGGGGGGCTAAGAGGAGAACACGCCTGGCAGAACCAGACAGGCAGATCGGGCGGGTAGACCTTATCGGACGGGTCGGGAAGGCGGGCCCAGGCGGCCAGGTCAAGCAGGCGGGTTGCTGAAGCGCGCGTCCTGCATGAATCGGGAGGAAAACTCGAGCGATAGCGCGATTCTGAAATACATCGTGAGGAAATCCACAGCGAAAGCGTGATTCCTGAGTGTCGAGGGTGCGGCGTGTGAATAAATTGCGACGACATCCCGCGCGAGAGCGCGATTCTTGTATAATTTGTGAGGACGTCCCGTGAAAGAGCGAGATTTAGGAATACATTGTGAGGAAGTATGAGGCGGCAGCCGCTGTTATTGCAAACCCAGGGGCTCAAGGGCGCAGTTTGGTGACACCTCGCTTTCTCTTATAGCAAGCACGGTGCGAGCCCCGGGAGAAGCACGTCCAGTGAACAATTAGAACGTCTACCTGGCAGGAAGTATCAATAATACAGACTCGTTAGAACTGATAATCCAACATGAACAGCAACAGCAGCAACAACAACAACAACAGCAGCACCAACAACAACAACAACAACAACACCAACAACACCAACCACTCCAACAACAATAAGAGCACCAACAACAACAAATCATATTAATACTGGTCGTTCTGATCTGACCGCGTGCCATTCAACACGTTTGTCCCAAACCCTCGATACCCGCCCTCTTCGTCGTGGGGGTATTTTTTCTTACCG